CCAAAGCCCAGGCGGTTCGGGGACTTCCTTGGCCACCCTGCCCTTGACTGAAATGGTGCCTCCCACAACTTGGCGCCCTTTCCTGTCATGCACTGAGTTTGCCTGGAAACTCTCATTGGGCCCTGGGATCCTGGCCTGGCATGGCCTGGCCTGGCCTGGCCTAACGATGCCAAAAATGGCAGTGCCCCATCTGGTAGCCTCCCAGAGTCCTGATCCAGTGATCCCTGGCCCAGGGTCATCTTGTGGCCTTGGGGACCTTGAAGGGGAGAGCATCCTGACCCCCCCACCAGTCCGGGCTTGCTTGGGTGTGAAGCTGTGGTGTCCTTGGGGAGAGCCCCTTTCGTTGGTATGTCTCAGGGTCGAGGACACCCTCCACCTCCCAGGGCAGTGGTGGCTGCAGGCAGGTGGGGTTTCCTCTGTTTGTCCTTATGCAAGAGTCTCCTCCCCGTTTCTTACTGCAGCAGTACAATCACTGTGGGGGGGGACCTTTTTGCCCAAGAGCAGCGATACCAGATGCTCCTTCTCTCTTCTCCCCTGACCTGACCCCCTGGAGTCACGCGGGGCCCCCATGGGGGTGTCTGCTGCCTGGTTATTTCTACCTCGGGTCTGACTCTTGATGCCAAAACCCCTCTCAGCCTGCCCTCCTTGGCTGGCTCAGGGTTTCAGCATGTACCAGTACCCGTCCCCTCCCACCTGCGTCGTGGGCGTGTCCACCTGAGAGTCTGCCTGGGTGCTGTCTCTGGTCGCATGAGTGTGTGTGTGTGTGTGTGTGTGTGTGTGTGTGTGTGTGTCTGTCTGTCTGTCTGCCTGCGAGTGTTGGGCGTCGTGTCTTGTGGGTGATATAGCCCCCAGATCTAACTCAGGGCATGCCTATTGTTCATGGTGATTGTAGGGGGCCAGGGTGTGGGGGGACAGCCCTGGGGGAGCCGTGCGCAGGGGGAGAGGTGGGAAGATGAGGGGAAGCTCCAGGCTGGGTAGTGCTGTGGCCTCTGCCTCAAGTCCCCTCTGCCAATCCCAGCTCAGGGCAACCTCCTGTTGGTGAGGGTTCTGGGGTGCAGCTCAGCACCCCTTTATGCAAACTGGGTGGGGACGGGACAGCCATCTCTGTCAGCGGCTTGCTTGTGCACTGTTCATTCTGGAACGGGTGGGGCTTAGCTGCACAGAGCAGGTAGGAGTCCCAAACTCAGGGTCAAGAGGGGCTCAGGGGCTAACCTAACTGCTCTGGAGATGTTTGTTACCGGCTGCTTCTAGATCTTCCTTGTGACCCCTAAACTGGCCACAGGGCTGTGTAGCTGTCGGGCAAGGGGCGGGCAGAGGCGTTGGGCAGCAGAGTTAGTTTTTAATAGTTGTGCATTTGTACAGTCACTTTTTTTGCTTTTATGACTTTTGCCCACTTCTATCGTTTTTCTCTTGCTTGCTTGTGCATTTTTTTCTTGGCAAACACGAATGAATTCAGCCTTTCATTCCTGACATGTGAAATTTCAGTTTCTCTGGGGTTTGTCCGATGGCGTGGGGACCACGCCGGAACTCAGGTTAAAGGAAAAAAACTTTTTAAAAAGTTATAAACTACTCTACCTCTGGCCGGGCCCCGCCTGTCAGTCACTGTGGCCGGCGGGGCAGCTGGTAAGGATGTCAGTTCTACAGAACATTCAGGTATTAGCGGGGTGGGGGCAAAAGACCAAAAAAAGGGGGGGGGGGAGGTGTGATTTTGAAATTTAAAAGAACACTGAAAGTTTACATTTTATAACATTATTGTGCAGATTGTATTTAAATTTCAGAAATATTTAAGACAATTGTAACCCTGTAAAGCTGATGAGATATTAAAACAAGACAAAACACTTCTGACTTTTAACAAAACGTCTCGGTGGTGGTTTCCTGGGCGTCACCGCACCCTGTCTGGGTCCAGTTAGCAGAAGGCACAGGGGTCCTCCGGTGGGGACTGTGCCCCGAGGGAACACTGGGCAATGTCTGGGGACATCTGTGGTTGTCACGGCTGGGGGTGCTCCTGTCACCGAGTGGGTGCGGCCAGGGGATGTTTCCCAGCTCCCCCAGAGCGCCCAGCATGGCTCTATCCAAGAGTGACCAGGCTCCTGTATCAGCAGTTTAGAGAGGGAGACACTACGCCAGGTCTGAGTGACTGTGTCACCCTGCTGGTTCCTGTAGCCCCCTAGCTTAGGCCTCCTGCTACCCTGGGTTCTGATGCCCAGTGTTACCCCTGAGTTGTCTGACTCCAGCCCCTAGGGCACGTGGCCTGGCGCCTGCCCCCTCCTGCTGGCTTCATTTTGCTTCTCTGAGGAAGCCACCCTGCCCCGCTGAGCCTGCCCTCCGTGGTTGGGTTCACACTTTAGCATTTGTCTTTCAGTGCCGTCTGGCTCCATAGAAACCACACAAGGGATGATCTGGCTGTCGGGCTACAATTGCAAACCATGGGCTCAGCCTAGACAGAGGGAAACCCTGGTTCTCAGCCTCCACACCCAAACCTGACAGCAGCATGCAGGTTGCTGCCAGTGAAAGATGTCTTGGGCTGCCCCTCACATCACCCACACCCAGGGGACACGATGGGCTCCAGGTCAGCATGGTCGGGACGTGGACAGGCCCGGCCTCCTGCCACCGGCTCCCCTGCCACTAGTTCTTGGCTGGTGCTGGCCTGGGCCTGTCCCTTCCACCTGGGTCAGCCCCCAAAGCTGGTCAGGAGTCTGGAAAACCAACCCCCTCCTGTGGCAGCTGGTTGCTTCCTCTGGCCCGTTTCACCAGCATTTCCCACGCCCACCAGAAATGGACTGGCTACATCTCTGTCTCCATGGGCTGGTGACCCACCTGCCTCTCTGAGCCCCTGCTCCCCAGGGACATAAAGGAAAAGTGGCTTCCGTTGTGTTTGTTTTTAAAGCCCTTTTCCGACAAACTGGATGGGCTAGTCTAGCATCTTTATTCCTCCACTGAAGAGGCCTCGAGAGGGACTGGGGGCCCTGGGGTCACACAGCTCCTGAGGGCACGAAGGGAGGGGTCGGACTCCCCCACATCTCCCCACCTCCCCCGCCCTGAGGCACCTCCTGCCTCCAGCTCTGCTTGTTAGGAGGCAGAGAGGCTCCCAGGAGATGAAACTCAAAACTAGGCCTGATTGGCGGGAGGGAGAGGCAGACCTAGGTGGAGGGGGTGGGGTGGGGGGGCTGTTGAAAGGATGCCTGAAAAGGATGATTGCTTCTGGACTCATCCGCTATTCCTTACACCATTAATGCACATCATGGGAGCTGCTAGGATTGTTCAAGGCCCCCAGCCCCTGGGTGGGCAGGGTGTGAGATGTGGCTGGGTCTGGTTTGGTTCAGCAGTGTGTACCAGTGCCTGCAAACAGGGGCTTAGAACCAGAGGGATGGTGCAGGCTTCTGTGCCTCCGTTTCCCCAAGCCCACTTGCTACCGCCGCCCAACTACCACCAAGGCCTCTCAGCTTGGATTTGGGAGGTGGCGCCTGGCTGGCACCAAGGAGGTCTAGAGACTGGGTGGTCTGCAGGCCCTCAAAGTGTGGCTTTTGTCTTGCTCCTCTGACACAACTGGTCTGTCCTCATTCCAGGAACAGGGCTGGGGGTGGGGTGACCTCTGACCTGACAGCAGCCTGGCCTACTGGGTCCTCAGGGAGGGGAGGAGGGGCGGAGGGGAGGGAGAGGCCTGTGAGGGGGCCTGACTGCAATCCAGCAGTCCTGCCCTGGGGCACCGCCTGGACCTGTTCCAGCCTGAGCATCCACCCTGTCCCTTATCCCCATTGGCACAGTTGGTCCTCTGCAAACCATACCAGCTGGGCCCACCTCTGTCCTGGAATCTGGAATTTGGAAATTTCCAGGCCAGCCTTCCCAGGATGAGGACACAGACCCTTTAGCTCCGAGGAACCCCCAGTTTGCACGTGGGGAGTAGGCCCAGGGGTGTGCAGTGACCTGCCCCAGGGCTCAGAAGTGCCAGTTTCAAGCCCCAAGTTGCTGAGTTGCTGTTTAAAAGGGCCACCTTGGCCCACCCCCTGGTTCTGCAGCGTGCTGGATTTCAGCATGCAAAGAATTGGTTTTGGGAAAAAGCCTAAAAGGTATTTTATTTTGGTGTTTGAGAAGGGTAATTTATCACTGGAGGTATCTTATTTCTCTTATTCACACTTTAAAAAACATTTGAGAAACCTGGGGTCATCCGCTGGTTATGGTGGTGGAAATCGGAAACAGCTGGTTCTAGTTCCAGTACAGTTTGGACTAGGTCAGTGATGGCGAACCTATGGCACGCGTGTCAGAGGTGACACGCGAACTCACTTTTTTGGTTGATTTTTCTTTTGTTAAATGGCATTTAAATATATAAAATAAATATCAAAAATATGTCTTTGTTTTACTATGGTTGCAAACATCAAAAAATTTCTATATGTGACACGGCACCAGAGTTAAGTTAGGGTTTTTCAAAATGCTGACACGCCGAGCTCAAAAGGTTCGCCATCACTGGACTAGGTGGTCCCAGCCTCAGTTTCCCCATTTAGCTAGTGCTGGGGTTTGAGACCTCAACCTACAAAAGTCCTTCCGCCTCCTATGCCCCAGGAAAAAATTAAATGCAGGCTTCCCACTGCCCGCGAGGCCCTCGATGGCCAGCGCCGCCCCCCCCCCCCCCCCCAGGGCCTGGCCGTAGGGCGTTGGCACTGCCTCTGCCCACCTTTCTCTTCAAGTTGTTAGCTCCCCGCTTCAAGGACACCTCCTCCGGGAAGCCCTTCCCTCCCCGTAACCGCTCCGCACTGTGGCCCCGGGGCAGGGAGCGGCCCACACTCCGGCTCCCGGCCCACGGCTCCCGCCTGCCACCTGGTGGCCGGAACCGGGCCTGCGGGATCTGGGCGCCCCTCCCAGGGGCACGAGGGCCGCGCTGGGCATCCAGTTGCAGGCACCGCGCAGCGGGCGCCGCCGGTGCTGCTGGCGGACACACTGCCCCAGGCAGCCACGTCTCGCGGCCGGGAGATTTCTGTTTTTTAAGTGATTTCTCCCTTTTCAAAGATTAGCAACTAATTCCACATTTTAAAGTAGTTTTCAGACGCGGCCGGGACAGCAGCTGTGACCTGAAGTTAGGCGCTCCCGACTTGTTTGGCCTGCACCAAGTTCATGAGCTAAAAATGTGGATTTTGTACCCTCCGGCCCAAGAAGAAGGGTCCGGGGGTAGGCTGATGGCGGATCCCTGAGTACGCACTTAATTGCAATGTATTAGGTGCGGCCAAATATGTCGGTACGGAGTCTACACTTGACGCCTGTGAGGTCGGTACTTTATTATTTGCGTATTAAAAATAAGCAAAGAATCCGAGAGCGCCAAGCGTGAGAGACAAGCCCGACTTCCAAGCTCTGAACCGACTAACTTATCGCAGAAGACCCTGGGCCTTGATTTCTTTTCCATCTAGTTTCCATCTAGTCTCCTACCAACATCTTCGGTCAGACGTTGCGCCCCTGGATTCTCAGCGGGTCCGGGGTGATGGGGGGTCCAATTCGCCGGGGAGTCCGCCCTCCAGCCGCCGGAGGCGGGACAGCGTGGGCGCCGCTCTAGCCCTCCGGCGAAGGCGCCCGCATCTTGCTGGTGTGACGCACTTCCGGGGCGGGGAGAGAAAGATGGCGGCGCCCATCGAGGTAGCCGTGTGTACAGACTCGTCCGCCCAGTTGTGGAGCTGCGTCGTATGGGAGCTCCACTCGGGCGCTAACCTGCTCACGTACCGCGGCGGCCAGGCTGGGCCCCGTGGTCTGACGCTGCTCAATGGCGAATACCTGCTGGCGGCGCAGCTGGGCAAGAACTACATCAGCGCCTGGGAGCTGCAACGGAAGGTGCGGCGGCGCGTGCCAGGGCTCCAACTCCGCTGGGGGTGCGCGGGACGCCTTAGACTGGGGTCGACGGGGGTCGGCCCACGCCGGAGCCGGGAGGAAGTCCCGGTTAGGGTGCTCTGCGCATGCGCGGGTGGTGGTGGTGGTGGGTTTACTGGTCGAAGGGAGGTGCGCGTGCCCCGAGGGGGCGGGCCTGAGGCTGCGGCATGAAGGGATGGGGAGGTAGTGGGTCCCTAGAGAGAGCTGTGCGAAAAGGGGCGCGAAGTTTTGTGGTTGGTTTTTAAACTAGGATCCATCTACTGACTCTGCAGTGGTATTTTTAAACGTTGATTAGAGAGAGAGAGAAACATAGGTTTGCTCCACCCAATTTTTGTTGTTAATCTCCACCCGAGGACATTTTTTTCATTGGTTTTTAGGGCGAGAGAGGGAAAGAGAGAGAAACATCAGTGTGTGAGAAACATCAGGTGGGAGAAACATCGATTGGTTGCCTTCTGCATGAGCCCCGGCCAGGGCCTGGGCCAGGGAGCCTGCAACCAGGGTACCTGCCCTTGACCAGAATCTAACCCTGGACCCTTTGGTCGGCAGGCCGATGCTCTATCCACTGATCCAAACCGGCTAGGGCCACCCATTTTTTTTTAAATGGTTTTTTATTGATATCAGAGAGGGAGAGTAGAAACATAAATGATGAGAGAGAATCATTGATTGGCTGCTTCCTGCACACACCCTCCTGGGGATTGAGCTCACAACCTGGGCATGTGCCCTTGACCTGAATCAAACATGGGACCCTTCGGTCCGCAGGCCTACGCGCTATCCACTGAGCAAAACCGATTAGGGCTCCATCCATTTTTTTTCTTGGCTGCTTGCTGGGGGATGGGGTTGTCAAGGTGCATTCTAAGGTCTGTTTGTTAGCACCGGACTCAGGGATGGGTCAGCAGACTTCCAAGGGTGCTAAATTTAAAGGGAGAGTTTGTAGTTGGGGTCTCATGGGTCTCGTAGGTTTGGAAAGTAAAGGTCTGAGGCCTGGTGAGCCCCCTGAAAACGTAGCACGGGAGACTTTTATCCTCCCAAAAGAGAGACGATCCCTCCTCGGAGCCCATGGTGTCTCCTCTTAAAGCAACCCCAAAATGCTGCTTCTGCAGCTACATGCTGCCTTTTGCTGCCAGCTGGCATCTCTTGGGGCTTTGCCTGGTGTGGGCCACACAGAACTTACATTTTCCCATTTTAGAGATTTGGAAATTGAGGTTCAAGGTCATGGTGGGGGGCCTTAGGAAGGCAGGATTGGGGAATGAGACGACTGGCCTTCGGGTTGGGTTCTTCAGCCCCAATGCCCTCCTGGACCCTCTGTGCCTCTCCCACCCCCATCCCTATGCCCATAAGAGCACCGTCTTTTCTTTTTTTTTAAATATATGTATCTATTTTTAAATTGATTTCACAGAGGAAGGGAGAGGGAGAGAGAAAGAGAAACATCAATGATGAGAAAGAATCATTGATTGGCTGCCTCCTGTACGCCCCACACTGGGGATTGAGCCACAGCCCAGGCATGTGCCCTGCCCGGGAATCGAACTGTGACCTCCTGGTTCATAGGTTGACGCTCGCCCACGGAGCCACGCCTTGCATCCAGGCAGGAACACCACCTTGCTCTGATCCAAGGATTTGCCATTCTCCACCTCCAGCATGCAAAGCCTGGGCTGGAGCGAACACTTCTTTACTGAACCATGAATTTGCTCAAACCATCTCTATCCCCATTCTTTCTGGTTTTCGTGGATTTACCAGCTGCCTGGGCACCCCCCGCTCACTCTCCTCACTGCTCCCTGGCTCCCAAGTTCTGCGTGAAGCTCATAGGCTTCTTATGTTCCTCTAGGACCAGCTCCAGCAGAAGATCATGTGCCCCGGGCCTGTTACCTGTCTGACCACATCGCCCAATGGCCTCTATATGTTGGCAGGGATTGCAGAGAGCATATACCTGTGGGAGGTGAGTGTCATGGGACTTAGCCTATGGACCGCGGAGTTAGACCACCAACAGGACATAACAGACACGAGTGGATCAACCAGGGACTAGTCCTTGCCCTGTCATTTTCCTTGCCTTCCCCTCCCCTGCCTCACCTCCTGTGCAGACAGTGTAGGGTTTGGGGCCAGAAGGTGGGTATAACTACCTCTGCCTTGCCTGACCTTAACCTTGACCTGCAAAATAGAGGTCTGCCAAGGGAACTGAGTTCTCTGCAAGATGGGAGAAGCTTTGTTACCTCATTCTGGGACTTTCAGCCTTAGTCCTGGTTCTGAAGCGAGGAAGCAGTTATTCATGCATAGGGAGAGAAACGGAGGCAGGGAGAGGCTCCTCACAGATTGCCCATCATGGTAGAAACCTTTGCCCTGATTGCTGCCAGCCTGGTGCCCGGGGCATGATAGAAACCAGTGGCTTGTGGCCTGATGGGGGCATCTTAGGAGGTCCCCCCTCCTTGATGGGGGACAGTCATAGTACTCCAGGCCATTGGGGTTGCTGTCTGGCCCTAGCTCCCCCCTCCCTCCTGCTAGACCAAGTGTCGAGGCTGCATTTGAAGCCCCTCACAGCTGGCCTGGAAGACTATGACGTCCTGCTGTGACAGTCACCATGAGGAGGTGCTCCAGAAAGGACCAGCTCCCTCCCAGCTTTGTCACTCCCACCCATTCCTTTTCTGGATGCTGTCGTCATACCACCCTTCTCCCTGACCCTGGGCAGACTCTCCCTTCACCTCAGTAACCTGCCAGCTGTAGGGCCCGGCACTGCACCTGCATCCTGCCCTGACCTGCGTGTGCCCTGCCTTCCCCAGGTCTCCACAGGGAACCTCCTAGTCATCCTGAGCCGCCACTACCAGGACATCTCCTGCCTGCAGTTCACAGGGGACAGCAGCCACTTCCTCTCGGGCGGCAAGGACTGCCTGGTGCTGGTGTGGAGCCTGTGCAGGTAGCGCCCTGACCCACTCGGGCCTGCGCCTAGTCCGTAGCTTCCAGCCAGGTGGGGCCTCAGCCCAGAGGGCAGGGAGCCTGCCCTGCAGAAGGCCACCCCAAAGTCCCGCGGCAAGAAGGAACTGGGTCTGGGGCCTGCAAGTCGGGTGGACTGTTGTGAGGACAGTGTGATTGGTTTGTCCAGGGACTGATTGGAGGCATCTGAGAATTTTCTGCCAGTGGGATGGGCCAGTGGCTGTGGAGGTGGGTGGAGGCATCAGGTACAGCCCTCCCCCTGAATCCACTTCTCCCGCAGTGTGCTGCAGGTGGACTCCTCCAGGACCCCAGCCCCCCGGCATGTTTGGTCCCACCATACCCTCCCCATCACAGACATGCACTGTGGCTTTGGGGGTCCCTTGGCCCGGGTGGCCACAGCATCGCTGGACCAGACGGTGAAGGTAGGACCGGCCCCCCTCCCCCACAGTGGATCTGTGAGCTGGGCTAGGATAGCTGGCAGGCTCTTGGCTGATGTGAGTCAGTGAATCTCCTGCTCCCCCCAGGCTGGTAGCTCTATACAGCTATCAATCCCCCAAGACTTCCCACCTCAAGGATATCCATGGGACAGCAAACTAGGCCTGTGTTGGCTCTGAAATTCTTGATTGGCCACCCGCCCCTGGTGGCTCCCTGACTCCTTGGGGATTCAGTGATGTCCAGCCTTTAGGTCTTGTCCTTGGTGGTGATGGTGGTGGAAGGCAGACTCCAGGCCTAACAGCAGCTAACATGGAGTGACAAGGGGTCCTGGGCGTGAGAACCCAGCTGTGTCTTAGGAAGTGCCCCAGTGCCGAGATCCCCCTGAGTGACAGCTCCCTTCTGAGGTTCTGGTACAGGGTCTCCCATTCAGGGCTGCTCAGCTCCCTGCACCATTGGGACCCCAGTGTCTGTGGAGCCCCATCCCATATCCCGCCTGCCCCCAGCTGTGGGAGATCTCCTCGGGCGAGCTGCTGCTCTCTGTGCTCTTTGACGTGGGCATTGTGGCTGTGACCATGGACCTAGCTGAGCATCACATGTTCTGCGGTGGCAGTGAGGGCTCCATCTTCCAGGTCGACCTCTGCACCTGGGTGAGTGGTGGGTGCCTGGGCCCGTGGTTGGAGGCTTATGGGACAGTGGGACACCCAGGGTCCATCCTTCAAAGGCCCTGGGACTGTCCATCCTCCCCTGCATCTAGGTCTTTGAGCCAATTGGGCTCTGCCCCAGCCCATCACCCCAATGCCCTGGGGCCCCCAGGGCTGAGGTACAACTGTATCCCTCTGCTCACTGCCCCTCGGCCTCCACAGCCTGGACAGAGCGAGAAGAGCTTCCAGTCAGAACAGGACAGCGGGAAGGTGTTCAAAGGCCACAGGTGTGGGGACCAGACTGGTAGCTGGGGAGGGGCCCTGTTCTCTAGCTCCTGGGGTCGGGGGTCATTTGGGCCACCCTTTCTCAGACCTGTGTCCCCAGGAACCAGGTGACCTGCCTGTCAGTGTCCACTGATGGCAGCGTGCTGCTCTCCGGCTCACATGACGAGACCGTGCGCGTCTGGGACATCCAGAGCAAGCAGTGCATCAGGACAGTGACCCTCAAAGGTGGGGCTGGGGGCAGAAGACCAACAGGCTGTAAGCTGGGTGGCTTTGCCCGTTTGTCCACACCCCAGCCACTTGGCTGGATGCTGGGAGGTAGGACCAGCTAGAGGAAAGTAGATGGGCCACTCCTGTACAGGTGGGTGGGTTTGAGGAGTGGAGGGTGTGGGAGCCATGGCCCAAGCCTGGCCGAGGTAGCTCCTGACTGGCCACCTGCCCTACCCAGGTCCCGTGACCAACGCCTTCATTATGCTGGCGCCGGTCAGCATGCTGAGCTCCGACTTCCGGCCCAGCCTGCCCCTGCCACACTTCAACAAGCACCTGCTGGGCGCTGAGCATGGGGATGAGCAGCGCCGCGGGGGCCTTACTCTGCGCCTGGGCCTCCACCAGCAGGTACTGGCCCAGCAGGTTCCCTGCCCCGGCTCAGCCTCTGCAGCATGTCTGTGTTCCCTGCGGGTAGGGCTCCCGGCCAGGATCCCTGTGAGGACCCTCCACATAGGCCGTCAGTGAGGAGACCCCTCTGCATGCATTGCTGAGCCTAGGCAATGAAAAGCACCTTCCACACTAGAAGCTGACCACATACCGGGGTACATTCTCAAATAAGACAAGACCGACCAAAGATGCTGTATCCAGTGCCTTCTCCAGCAGGCCAGTAGGCAGCGCTCACTCCCCTGGTGCCCACCAGGAGCTCCCCGCCAGAGATCACTCCTGGCCTGTCCTTGGCAGGGCCACACATTGCCCCTCTGGCTCTGCTCAGTCCACCTCTGTCCACTGTTCCCGTGCCCTGGAATCATGAGCCCCACGAGGGTGTCCAGGCCCCTCGCTCAGACATCATGATGGATGGCAGGACTGAGTGCCTGTCTGCCAGCCAAGGGCAGCATGTCTAGACTGCATCTAGCAGGAGGTGGACGGGCTCTCCACTGTGCAATGTCCATGCATGTCAGTGGGTGGGAGGTTCTGCCCACATCTAGCTGGTCCTTTTCTAGAGCCTTCTTGGCCCTGGTTTCTGCATGTCCCCCAAAGCCTGGCTCTAATCCCACACCCGTGGTGTGGCCTTGACTGTCCCCATCCCTTGGGCACAGTCCTGCAACAAACAGGCAGCAGATCTAAGGAGGCTGACACGGTGCTTCCTGCTGGGTGTCGGTTGGAGGTGGAGCATCCCACTCAGTGAGCGACACTTGGAACCTGTCTTCCATCTGTGAGCAGCATCAGGATGGCACCCCCTCACCTTTGGGTGGTGTGAGCAGGGTGGTGAGCCCAGAGGTCACTAAGGCAGCCCCTTCTTTTGCAGGGATCGGAGCCCAGCTACCTGGAGCGGGCAGAGCAGCTGCACATGGTAATGTGCAGCACAATGGAAAAGGTGGGTAGGGCCATGGAGAAGGGTGAGGCTGGAGTGGGGTGTGGTGGAGTGGGACTGTTAATTGCGGAGGAGATTCTGCCCTCCCACATCCCAAACTGTCAGAGGGCCCTCCACCCTGAGCGCCCCCACCCCCCAACCCTGCTCCTTCCCAGAATGTGCTGGGCGGCCAGGACCAGCTGAGGATCCGAATCACGGAGTTGGAAGACGAGGTCCAGAACCTGCGCAAGATCAATCGAGACCTGTTTGACTTCTCCACGCGCATCATTACTCGGCCTCCAAAATGAGTGCAAGGACCAGACTTCTACCCAGGGACAGCCCGGCAGAGCCCCCCATCCTGGGGCCACTGGGCCAAAGCCCCCAGACCAACAGCTCTGTTACAAGCTCTCCTTTCCCTGGTTCCGTGTTTGGATTGTTACTTGCATGAGGAGTCGTTTTGTCTGTGTTGATCCACTCGTGTCTGTTGTGTCCAGTTGGTGCTATTTTGTTAACAAAAGATCTAAAAGTCTGTCCTCTTTAGTCCTCCGTGTGTGCTGAGGGTTGTCCCAAGTCCCAGGCTGGGCTCCAGGACCTTCAAGGCAGGCTGTCAGGGCTGACTTAAAAATCGTGTTGGGAAGCTGTGGTTCTCAGACTATTCAGATACTCATCTGTCACCCTGGTGCCTTTGTATGACCTTGAAGAACAGGCCACTCTCTATGGGAGGGGGTGGGGAGGCATAGCCTCAGCTACAGACCGAGGTCACTAAGGTGGCTGTGACTCAGGGAAAGCAGTGGGTTCACACTGGTCACATCCTGATGGCTACCAAGTCTCCTCAGCCTTGGTCAAGGCTAGGACATTGGGGTAGCAGCCAGTTCTGGGCCAAGGTGCCAGGGGCCTCCCTGCCCTGGGGGCACCACCAGTCCAGTCGGCACCTGGAGGCCAGCCCAGAAGTGTGAGCCCCAAGGCTGCCCTCAGAACCTTCCCGAAAGCTACCCCTCAATGACAGTACCACTTAACCATCCAGAAAACTCACGTAATTTGTCAGGTGCCATCGTAACTGCAACTGCAGGCCAGGAGCCAGCACTGAGTTCATGCTTTTAGGCTAATTGGAGTTCCCTTTCCTCAGGGCTCTATGTCCTCATAAGCGGGTGGCTCAGCCATACCCTGCAGCGGACGCCTGGGGATGGGACTGGGCCCACCCTCTATCCACCTCTGTGGCTCTTGCCTTCCCCCTCCCCTATCCAGGACAGAATGACACCTAGAGCTGTCTTGTTCATGTCAGACAAGGGGTCCAACTGGTTTTAGGGACTACATCATGGTCCACACACGCGGAGTGGGGTCTAGCAGCTGGTCAGCAAAGCTGGGGGCATGGAACTTGGTCTTCAGAGGTTCCAGGAGATGGAGGGGGAATTTCAAGATGGGTTCAGGCTCCCCTAGGGTAGCTCACCTGCCAGAGCCTAAGACCCTCTGGGCCCTGAACCTCAAGCTGTGCCTGGCCACATCAAACCCCAGCCCTCCACTCTGCTGTTGCCTCGGTAGGTGACTTGGAGCTAGATCTGAGCGGGTACTGTTGCCCAAGTCTGCGTCAGAGTTGGCAGGTTGCTGTGAGATGGGCTCACTATACCAGCCTCTGCTCTGGCAGTCTCCTGGATCTGGATTTTTCCCTGGGAGCTGGGCGGGGGGCGCAGCGCAGGGAGAGGAGCACTGTTTCCACTGTCCCTCACCCTGCACATACTTCCAGGGCCAGAAGCATCTGCAAACCACCCTGAACTTTCAACTGCTGGGGTGCCCTCGGCAGGGAAGGTGTAGGGTCCCCACACCCTGGGGCTGTCCCCATGTTCTGACTTGGGCCTGGGGCTGTGGTACCTGCCCACGCAGCAGCTTCTGACACCCTGGGAGGTGGAACATCAACATGCAGGCGGCCTCCATGACTCTGTCCAGTGTAGTCCTGGAAGGTTGCCCGTCCTCTGCAGGCCGCCGTCAGAGGGCTTAGAGGGGGTTGGCCAGCCCACCATGCACCTTGCAAACAACATACGTGGGTGGTGGGCACAAAGCTGACCTCTTCCCCATCCAGCTTGAAATCACTAAATGGCACACATTTTTTCTTAGCACAATTTGACCCCAAATCCGACCATCATTGTCAGAGGGGACATGCCGACAGCACCAGAATTCACTGGTGACTATGCTGGCAGAGTTTGTAAACCACAGTGAGATGCCACCTCACACTTTCGAGAACCACTTGTTTTTAAGAAAAAGTCCACAAGTAGGTGGAAAATAACCCTCATGCACAACCGGTGGGGCAGCTGCTGTGGCAGAGTCTGGTGGTTCCTCACAAAATGGTGCAATCACCATAGGATCCTGCACTCCCACTTCCAGGTAGAGGGACACCCAAGTGAACTGAAAACGGACTCAGAACCTGCACACCCATGGCCACAGCAGCATGTTCACAATGGCCCAGAGGAGCAGCCGGTGTCTCAATGGATGGGTGGATAAACACTATGAGGTCCATCCAGAAGGTGGACTATGTATTATTCAGACTTAAAAAGGAAGGACATTCTACACCTGCTACAACATGGATGAACCTGGAGGACATGCTCAGTGACAAACGAGTCACAAAAGGCTGTTGGTTGACTGCCTGAATCTCTAATGAAGGTAAGAAAGTGTCTGCTGCCCAGGATGGGTCCTTATTTCTGAGGCTCATGCAGTCGGAGGGACCGTTCCCCAGGGTGGGGCGAGGCCCAGTGGAACCCAAGGACGCTAACGGAGCCTCACCTGGGATCATGGCAGGTGGGTGTTCCCTGGCATGACAGTGGCCTCAGGCAGGGAGGGAACCAGAATCCAGGACCCTTGGGGATGCTCCCTCTCCTGGGACACCTGGCCAGTTGAATGGATGGGATAACCTGGTCACCTGGAATTCAGTTTTCATTAGTCATCTCAAATTCCAATCCTTATTGCTGGCTGGCACTTGCATTTTTACTTATCTAAGGGCGTTTTTTTCCTTGCCCTTCTAACACTGGCTCCAAAAGAAAGTGTTTTCGTGTGAGAAAATGAGCCAAGTGTAGATTTATTCATTAGAGCTGGAATGTTCTATGCTGGGAGGCTGTTCTGCATCCAGAAGGGTCTGGAAGACACCCCGGTTTTCTCAGTCCTCCACCCACACCCATCCTGGATGAGAGCCACGTGGAGTGCTGCTGGCCCTGATTCATCCCGCGTTTATTGAACACCTGCTGTGTGCCAGGACCACAAGGACCTGGGTCATTGAAGGTGGGGAGGCCCAGAGAACACAAGCTTGGGGATTGGTAGGTGGCAGGGAGCGATAGAAAGTTCTGGAGCAGTGGACAGTGATATAAACAAGTGTCTCTATGAACAGTTACTCAAGCAACGTGATGGCAGCGTGTGATGGAGTCCAGGTGCGCAGAGTGAGCTAAATGGGTGGGGGATGGTTCTCATCTTTCTGGGTGACAAGAGGGAACATCTTTCAGAGCAGTGGCATTTGGCACTGGGCCTTGAAGAGTGAAGAGGAGTTCTCTGGTTTAAGTTGCCTGCCCACAACTAGGGAACTTGAGATCTATCCTCTGGATTCCCATCAGACACACCTGTCTAACTTCCCAGGGTGCACACCAGGTTAAAGCACACCCGGGTGGGTGGGTATGGATGGACACCACTTTTTGGAGGTGGGAGGTGCTGCTGCCTGACTATGGAGGCAAATCCTGGCCGTTTCCCTGAGTGAACAATGGGCCACCACGCTCCCAGGCTGGAGGGGAATCCTAGAATGGAACAGGGGTAAGTATGGGGACAAGTTTTGACCAAAATCTCTCCCTGGTGGCAGCCTCACTTTCCTCCCCTGGCACAGAGAGGGGAAGAACAGTGGTTATTTCCAGCCCCCATGCCGTGTGGCCACTTGAGCCTTTGTGTCCCAGCCTGGGAAGTGGCCCAACCCCTCCCTAGCGGCTCGCTGGCATTGCGGGGGGCAGGGAGTGGCCAGGGCGGGCGCCCGACTGTGGGGCCGGGCGGGGAAGGGTGTGGCCTGGGCCGGCTGGGATCCTGCCTCCTGCGGGTGGCACCAGCAGTTCAGTCCCCAGAGCACCGGCCGGTAACTTCGGGATGGAGTTTGTGCGGGCGCTGTGGCTGGGCCTGGCGTTGGCGCTGGGACCCGTGCCCGCCGGGGGCCACCCGCAGCCGTGTGGCGTCCTGGCGCGCCTGGGGGGCTCCGTGCGCCTGGGCGCCCTCCTGCCCCGCGCACCCGCCGCCCGAGCTCGCGCCCGCACCGCCCTGGCCCGGGCCGTCCTGGAGCACCGGCTACCGCACAACCTGAGCTTGGAACTGGTGGCCGCCGCGACCCCCGCCCGCGACCCCGCCTCGCTGGCCCTCGGCCTGTGCCAGACGCTGGCGGCTCCGGGCGTGGTAGCCGTGCTCGCCTTCCCCGAGGCGCGGCCGGAGCTGCTGCAGCTGCACTTCCTGGCGGCCGCCACCGAGACCCCCGTGCTCAGCCTGCTACGGCGGGAGGCGCGCGCGCCCCTCGGCGCCCCGGTACGCACGACGCTGGAAGTCAGGACTCGGGGGTCCGGGATGCGGATCAGGGGGGCCCCGGGAGATCCTGGGGTGCGGGGACCTGGGGTCCCTGGGACCCGCGGGACCGATGGACTTCTGGACCGCAAATGCAGGGGCCCCGGGGATGCTTAGGAGTCCGATGACACCGCCGCTGGGTTCGCGGGACCTGGGCCCCTGGACCCCGGGTGCTCCCAGAGCATGGGAACCAGAGGCAGGAGTCCAGGGGCTCCCCTGGTCCACGGTTCCGGGACCCTTCGGGACTTCTCTGGACCCCGGAATACAGACCCTCAGGATGCCCCCTTTGGGGCACGGAACCCGGGTGCAGACCCTTTGCCTGAGCCTTGGTGGTGGAGCCCCGCCACTGCAGCCACCCACCCTTTTGGCCCCAGGACCCATCCCGCTCCCTGAGAGCGGCCCCTTCCGGGGCCAAGGGCAACTCTCGGTTCCCACCAGGCGGGACCACAGATCTGGGAAGGGCCTCCCCCTTTGCTCTCTGGTCCTTCTTGGGTCCTCAGGCCACTCTCACTCCAAAGCCCTCCCTCCATCCTCCTTTTCACACTCTCCACCTTTGTGGAGTTTATTTTCTAGACACACCCCATCCCCACCACAGGCCCAGACCCGGGATGAAGTTTTTAAAAAATGAGATGAGGAGAGAAGGGTGTCAGGCAGGGCTCTGGGGACCCTGTTGTGCCCCAGGAAAAGACCCCCATATACACCTCCTAGGCCCAGCAGAGAGGGACGTGGATCTGGTGGGAGCCCCCCCCCCCCCCAAACCACCTTAAAGCCCCTCTTCTGGGAGGGAGACCCTGTCCCTGGAAGAGGCCCGGAGTTTCACCAACCCCGCTGTCACTGCTGAGGCCCGTTTTCCTACCCCTGCCTCCTCCCCATGGAAGATGCAGGACCCAAATCCAGGCCTGTGGCGCCCTCTTCTGCCGCCTCTAAGAACTGCGCTCCTGCAGTTGGAACTCTCGGGTTTCT